AGCACTACTCTGGACTTAAGTCAGAGTAACCATGATGAGCAGATTAATGAGGTGGGAGAGATAAGAATTTTGGAACAGTATGACCTTGTTTTCATAATATTTATAGTTTAGAAAGAGAATGCCTTGCAACTCATATTTGAATCTTCAAATGTTAAAAAATTCAAATAAAATAAATTTAAAGTTGAAATTCTAAAAATCAAGTCCTGTTCTGAGAGACATGGGATCTTCTAATAAACAAATAAGATTTTAAGGAATTTAGACACTCTAAAATGTTGTACAGAAATTTCTAATGAGCTATGATTTTTCATATATAAAATGTATTCATATTTTCATGTATAAAATATTTATGGATACATAACCATAAGCCAGTTCAGAAGGGAGACACAACCAGGAAAGCAGTATGTTAGGAACACTGAAGCCAAGAATAAGTGGAGGTGTGGTTGTCAAAAATAATGCTAAGGATACACATACCTCTCCCTCATTTTTTCCTCATTCCTCTTGCTCTCACAAACACACACACACACACACAAATACACATATACTCAAATATATACACACACACACAGATCTATCTAGACATAGATACACACACCCATATATGGAATGATGCGATAATTTTGGAACATTCAAAAAGAGTTAAAAGCAAACAGACAACGAGCAAGAACTAACCAAATTACATTTTGTTATGACCTTCTTCCTTCTGACAAGAATAATCCTCAAATGAACGGAGAAAAAATTCAAAGGAGTAGAAATCTAAACAATGAAACAATGAAACTCAAGGTAGACAAGGAGAGGAAGCCTGTTTTCAAGTTTGAACAGGTAATTTATAAGCTAGTGCACTAATAACTTTTGCCAGTAATGGAAAAAAACAGACAAAAGAATATAAACTTGATATTAAAAAAAGAAAGACTCGGCAAACTGTAGCTCTGTGAGTTTACTGGAGATACTGGGCAAATTTTTAGAAATTACAAAAAGCCTTTTTTTCTTAATTTTTCAAAAGAAATGGGTTTCGATTTCTTAAAAAGAAATGATCATTAATATTTACAATGGGAATATTAGGAACAACTGTTACAAATTTTGGATGCGGTTTCTAGAGTAATAATAGAATGATAGAAATATATCTTGATTTTAGGAAGGCATTTACATAATCCTACATGATATTCTTTAACAATATAAATATAAAAAGGTGGTCTGGATGACATTTCTAGTGGGTAATGAAGTTGATATTGGTCAGGATGAAGGCCTCTGGTAGTGTTTTGAAGGGTCATATCCTTTTTTAACATATATAACGTGGCTAAAAAGAGAAGAAACATTTATTTCTTGATTGATTACTTTATCTCCTTTTCAGTTCTAACAGCCTACAAGGTAAAATAATTCAACTTCACAGATGAAGGAACTAAGTTTCATAAAGGTTAAATAACTTTCCTCATATCTGGAGGTCAGTAATTGCAGAACTGGGTTTCAAACTCAGGTCTACCTGACCCTTTAAATGTATTTCCTGAGAGGACAAAAGGCACACATACCAAATCTGTGGTACCAGAAAGCTGGGGAGTTATGTTAAAACATCGAATGATGGAATCGAAAGCTGGAAAGTAGGGAGTCATGGATCAGAAGAAAAAAAATGTAATTCTCTTGAAATTAATACTAAATTTTACAAGAAACCTTCAAGAAATCAATTGAACATACACAAAATATCAAATCAGGTTTTATCAGGAGATCATGTAATAAAAATTGTGAAATTTGAGTGTGAGCTTTGTTAGTCAGTAGCAGCATGGTGATAAAAATAAATGTAATCTTCAACAGTGTTAATGGAAATACTGATGAGGCAAGGGAAGAGATCACACTGTTATCTTCAGATGTCAGAGGACATTGAGTAGAGTTTTCCATGTTAATCCAGGGTGTCATGTTCTAAAGGACATGTGACAAACTGGCAAATATTGAGTGATGTTTGCCATATGGACATTTAGAAGAGCAAGTGCTTTCCCTACCATACCTTGTAATTTGTAAATATTTGTTTCATTTGGGTGCCATTATTGTACAGGATAGTTTTTCTATGACAGCTTTATAAAAATTCCCAGAGAATAATGGTTCAGTAACAATGGAATGTTCTAGTCTCATAAGTGTAGCTATATGAGAAAAGTTGTTCTAAATGATGCTTGGTTTCCAAATTATATTTTTAATCTGGAAAATATCTATCTTACAAAATTTATAGTTTTTTTGATGATAATGCAACAGTGCTTATATTAACACTTTTTATGTATTTTTATATCCAGACATGTTATTGCTGCTATAATGTGTATTTTCCAAAAATGTATAATTTCCATATTTTTATTGTGCTTTTATGAATGCTTTTTTTTGATGTTTATAAATGCTGAAAAGGCCTCCTTAAGGAGAAGAAATTTAAATGTAAATAAGCTTTTTAGTCAATTTAAAGTAAACAAATTGAGACATTATTTAAGGTATATACCATATTTTGTGCTCAAACCCTGTCAGCATCGTATTCACGTAGCAGTTAAATAACTCAACTTTTGTGTTACATTCCAGTGTTTTTCAATGGATATTTGTAACAAAGAAAATAATATGTATTTAAAAAACCTACTACAAAGAGACATTGAGGAGACATAATGCTTAATAACAGATTGACTATAATTAAACCTAATAACTTTTTGCTCTATGCCTCTGAGACAAGATTACAGGAGCCTTTTTCAGAATTTTTAAATATAGGGAATGCAACGTTGACTCATATAAAGAATGTATCTTTTAGAAAGAGAAAGGTTATTTGTCCCCTTGTTCTCTAATGGAGAAGCTTTGTTTGTCAAAGTCTTTCCTTAAAAAGTTGACCTCCACTCAATCTATAAAGAAAACATAAAGACATCCTTAGGTGACTGACCAGCTTATTCAAATCTGGTTTCCATAATGAAAAGATCAAGTTTAAGGTAAAATGTAAAACCTTAAAATCACTTTGCATTTATAATTCTCTAGCAAACATTCGATTTCATTGTTACCCTCGGCAATATTTCTTGAAGCATTTTCCAGAAGTTGATGTCTATGGCTGGTCTTTGGAAACACTCTCAGAACCTATGCAGACTCTGAGAAGTTTACAATCACTTCATGGAGTCTGCCTAAGTCTTGATATTACATGTCTTTGTTGTGTACCTTTTGTCATTAAAAGTGCAGAAAAATGATTATTTGTAATTTCTGAGATATATGGAGAATATTATGCAACCAGCCAGTTAATAAAAGAGGATGAGAAAAGCCAAGAAAATAGAGGATCTTCAAACATCTGGCAAATATCCTCCAAATCAAGGCAAAGATTATAGTTTAGTGGCAGTGTTCATTTTTCCTATGACTTTAAGACTTAGTAGTGCAACAAAATATTAATATTTATAAATTCATATTTTCTCTTTATTATACTATAGCAACTGGATGCAAAGAAAATACACAGTAGCTATTGTATCAATAAAAGAAAAAAATCCCAGTTTTACGAGTTTCTAATTTAATCAATTTGGATAGAGTGAATAAAATACTTTCCAATCTATCAAAACATATGCACTTGAGCCTCTCCATAAACACGCATGAAGTACTTTTCATATCTTCATAGTAAACCCTTTTATCTTTGCTGTCTGTCAAAAGATAGAAAGGGTCAGATAAGTTCAGGGCATTCTGGACAACCAATGTCTTTAGGATGCACTAAGGTCTCCTGAAATGCTTTAAGAGGACAAATGGTTTAGGCACAATTGTCCAGTTCCTTAGAGTAAAAGTCAAGTTTGCTCATCATGTGGGGGCATATACAAGACTATCATTTCAGATACTTTAGGCTTATTCCACAGAATGAAAATGTGACTTATGGAAGAGTTATACTAGCCATTTCAAGATAGCATAACTTACTATCTGAGCCTTAGGTAGAGGCGAACAGAAAGCAGAATTTATGTGAGGAGCAATCACTACATAAGGGAGAGGGTACTGTCTGGATATCAGTACAACTGATCTCTCACTTTGGTTTTCCTTTGAATTAGCTCTGAATATAGAAAAGTCAACTGATTTCTATGTTTCCTACTTTTCTCTTTTATAAGATGTCCGTTTAAACTTCAAAGAAAGTATATGATAGATTACAATTTCAATTGTATGAATTTTAATACAAAACATATAAAATCAATTTCAAAAATTTTCTGCATTTACTGAAAATGTTTGTAAGAATGAACTAAGTATAGGCCTTCTCTAATTTCGTCTATTAAAGGTAGGTACCCAATATAACGTGAAAATATTGAGCATAACTATTCTTTTTGCAAAAGGGAATCTAGAAAAAGACTGCTTCCCACAGAAAATTTATTAACAATAGGTGCTCAATTAAGTGTTTTTATACAATGAACAATGCCCCTTTTTATAAATAATCAGGGGAGAAATATTTTTAAGTAATTTTTTTCTTTCCATCACTCCAGCTACGCACAAAATTCTGTTGTAAAGACATATTTCTATGAGGAGGTATTCATTGTAGATGCACAGAAGTCTATGAGAACCTATGTTTACAGGAAAAAAATGGATTATCATTCTAACCAACTGCATATTCACACAGATGCTTAATGAAAGCTACCTGATGATATAATGAATGTTTAATTTTGAGGAAGTGCATACAGTTGGCAACTATTTTTCAAGACTCACCATCCAACAAACTAAATTTTCTCATTTTAAATCCTTCATGTCACCTTTTTGACATTTAGTTGAAATTTTGGAACTAACATGATCACATAAAAATATAAATGGAAGTAGCATTAACCATGGACTGATTCTCAACTTCAAGAGTTAAAATAAATACAAGTGTGGATTAGAATAAAATTATGTTGACAATACGTAAATCAAAACTGCCAAAATGATTAGACTTTTCTTTGAAAATATTCCATCCATTGCTTTCCCTCCAACAGACAAAAGTAGCAAAAGAGGAAGGTAGCAAAAAGGGAAACAGGAAAGCCTGCTTCAATAACTGGACATATCGATTTAATTGGTTAAAAAGTCCAAATGCTAATACTCCGAATAATCAGCCATTCCTTTTGTGTTTTGGTAACATATATCCTTATACAATTTATGTCAAATGGAATTTTTTGATTCACCTCCGACATTTCAAAGTTTCCGTTTTTGAATTCCCCTAGTCTTAAGTAAGTAACACATTGTCTACTTTGTTTGAAATCTACAACATTTTCCCCAACATCTAGGGCTCCATGATGTAAAATGTCATTTTGCCGATCTTCTGTTCCAGTACTCACTTTAATTTTTTTAATTAAAATCGGATTTTCAAATATAATCACAAAGAAATCTCCTGCTGAAGGTGGTTTCCCCCAAAAGTACTCATCAACACTACTATAAGCCTTGCTTGCTTCATAATTTTCGAAAACATTCATGTTGGTATATAGATTGGCAGGAGGGTTATCAGGGATGTCAAATGACTCTTCTTCAAAATCATCATCCTTCAGCTTATTCTCAGTCCCTTTATATGATGAATAATAACCCATGTGCTGAAAGAGAGATGGTTTAAAACGGATCACATTTTTCTGAGCTAAAAGACCCCGAAAATGAGTCAATAGCCAATCACAAGGCATTTCTTGATAAAACATTAATAAAAAGTGTGCTAAACGTGGGAGATCATGAGAATGATAAAGTTTTCCAATGTAGCCAAGCTTAGAGAACTCAAGAGTTACCCAGTAGGTTCCTTCTAGGGATGTAATGACTTTCTTGATGGCAGTTAAGAAATTTTTTGAACATCGAACATCATCTTCAAGCATTACATAATAGTCTGAAGTATTGGCACAAAAATTAAGCAGAAAAGCATAGTCTACATTTTGCTTAGAACGAAATCTGACTCTGTCTTCTGGATCATTGTAATTTCTCTTAAGGCCATCCAGGATTGGGTAATATTCCTCTGGAGCATGTATAACTATTAATCTTCCTGCAATAATGTGGTGGGCGAATTTCTGTGTAATATCCTGGACCATGACATCACGCCAGGATGAATTAAAGTCTGCTAGGTGAACCACCACTGAAATTTCCTTCAGCTCCTCATAGCTGGATTGCTCAAAAATTGACTTGATTGTCTCGAGTAAATAGTTTCCTTTTTTTCGTTTCACTGATGAAAGTCCAATTGTAAGAAACCCTGAGTGAAAGAGTTCAGAAAGAAGACAAATTAAATGCGAAATAGGCTTTGAATAACACAGAAAAAAAATCTTTTCCCCTCAGGCCTGCTACAATATTAGGCACATCTAGTAAATGGTATGTGTAGAATATTTTGTGAGTAAAGTCTTATGCTAAATATGTAAAGGCTATAGGACTTAATACATAATTTATTTTTCTATGGAAAAAAATGCATCTTAAGCACAATGACATATGAGCTTTATTGATGTAAACATTTGTTTATGAAATAAAAAATACCATTTAAGGTGTTTTGCAGCTTATTGTTCTCATATATGTCCATTAGAGAAGACAGATTTTTGGATAATATCCCCACTATTAAAAAATGCAAAAGGAGAAGGAAATTCACAGTTAAGGATGACAAATAAGTCTCAAATGATAAAAAAGAAAATTAAGCATAACTCATTCTTTTATCTTTAAATTTTTCATAGAAACATGTTACATTTTCATTTTTCTTTGATCATTGTCATTATCTCACACCAGAAAAATTAATAATTGGAACTTCACAGTTTTATTTTGAAATTTACCTAGAACGTTAATTAGAATGGAAACAAAATTATAAACTATTTTTAAAAAATGCATTATTATTCAAATATATAGTACATTGTTCCAATACATGAATATCACTGTTTTCCTTATTTTGAAACAAATTTTAGAGCAATTTTCTGATGGGAAATTTTTATTCAGAATCTAAAATCTAAAATTAGAGACTGGATATCTGTAGGGAATAAAATAAAACCTTATGAAATGGCAGTTTACTTCTAAGAAGTGTAGATGTCTCTTTCTCGAAATATTTTCACTTTTTAAAGCTCTGACTCTCACCGTGATTCAGAACTGAATAAAATTTCCTAAAAACTACTTGAAAAATAGGAAAATATTTCTATTCACTAAGATCACTGTTTTAATACAGACACCTACTTGTTGTGATTTATGCAATACTGAAAAAGCCCTTTCTAAGAATAATCGTTCTTACTAGTCTGTCAGAGAGGTAGAGATTTACACATTTTGTTTAAATATCTCAGTTTACGACCCTAACTTCTTTTGAAAAATGAATATGTTCTGTGGTACCATTCAACTCAAGATACCAGCCTTTACTAATGCCCTAGAATAGCCAATACTATGAGAATAGTTCCTACATTAAAGGCAGGAATCTATGCATTTTGCCTGTAATATGCATCTTGAATATTCCTAACCATCTTTTGGGACAGCTTTGTACTTGTCATCATTTCTGCTTTATAGATGAGGAAAGGAAATTCAGTCACAGGGAGATGTGTTCACTTGTGCAAAGTGTAACACCTAATGAGTAGCGTGGGGCCAAGATCCAAAGTGCCCTGTGTGTACACTCTGTTTTATATCACCTCTTTGTATAAAGCAGTGGCATATGTGTATTGCCAGTTTACTAACTTAGGATGGAAAGGGAGAATCAGTAATGTTTGCACAAAGGTAGTGTAACAGATGGAGATAAAAATAAACATTGGCAATCTTATGCAATTAGAAGAAAGCTTAAGAGCGATAGACATTTGAAATGAAGGAATGAATGGAAGATAGACCTAAAGAAGCCCGAATTAAGTTAAGTTACAATTTCCTCAACCTGGTGATCACAGACTCACTTGTATAAACACTTCTTAATGGGGAATTCAATTTCTGTGGTCCCCACATGACCCATTAAGAAATTCATGATATCACTGTGTTTCATTGATTTCACGAGTCATATTTTTCACACAGAAACATTTTAAACTCACGTTGAATATTGTAATTGATGGCATCTTACAATTAAAACTGATGATTATGCTTTCTTAGTGGCACATTAATTAGATCATGATACCTTCTATAGTCTACGGTGTCTTGAAATCCATAGAGTGTGTGTAGTATGTTACTTCTCAGATCCAATCTACCGATAGTGAGTTGAATAGTTTTCTCCAAAAATTCAGGTCTACCTGGAACCTCAGAATGTGACCTTATTTGAAAATAGAGTCTTTGCAGATATAATTAGTTAAGGATCTTGAGATAAATCATTTTGGATTTACAGTGGGCTCTAAATGTAATGACTGGTGTCCCTGAAGAAGAGGAGAGAACACAGAGAGACACAAAGACCAAGGGAAGAAGATCCTGTGGAGATGGAGACTGGGACTGTAGTTAAACTCCCACAAACCAAGGGACGGCAAGAGTGACCAAAAGCTGAAAGAGTCAAGAAAAGATTCTCCCCTATAACTTTCAGGAGAGTGGCTCTGTCAGCACCTTGATTTTGAACATCTGGTCTCCAGAAATATGAGAGAATAAATTCCCATCGTTTTAAACTACCTAGTTTGTGGTAATTGGTTATAGCACTTTGGTAAACTAAAACAATGACGTTCACTACTTCAAAAGCAGTGGCAAGTCATAAAAACCAGAGCATTAGAGTTAGAAAATATATCGGTATGAGAATAGTATTTTTAAAAGGGAAGTTTTAAAAGTTCAAATAAATTGATTTTTCTCAGTCTCTCTACGTGGTTCTACAGCAAACTGTTTGAAAGTTTATATAACAATTAGGCATTTTAAAAAATTTCTTTTTTGGGTTATTAATGGAACTGGATCAGTGACTGCAATTTGTGAGGAAACACTGAATTACTTCCCAAAGAATATATATTTGTAAAGCCCATAAAGTTTTATTGCGATACAAATGAAGCCAGTTGTCATTATTTCATTATTTATTTTTTTTAAGATTTTATTAACTTATTTGAGAGAGAGAGAGAGAACGAGAGGGGAGAGGGTCAGAGGAAGAAGCAGACTCCCTGCTGAGCAGTGGTCCTGACGCAGGACTTGATCCTGGGACTCGATCCCAGACTCCAGGATCATGACCTGAGCTGAAGGCAGTCGCTTAACCAACTGAGCCACCCAGACGCCCCCTAATTTTAAAAAAACAAAAATACTTTATGTGTTCTTTATTTGAAAGTGTAGGGATACTTACGCTTTCTTTGTAAAGGCGTGGTAGCTAAGTAGCGATAGGTGACGTTGATGGCTCCTGAGAAATTAGATAAATCTTTGAAAGTATGCACATAACGTTCTGAATTCAGCTGATGTGTGGATGTTTCCCTTATAAGTTGTTTATCTCCTTCCTGAATGCCATGAAGGAGGCAGAGAAAATAAATAAATAATAGATGGTCATGGATTAAATAAAGTTTCTCCTTACACAACGAACATGTGGGGTTGATATGCAACATGGGTATTATATAAATCTCAACTACTGCACCACAAACTATAGATCCTCATCTCTCACCTGAATTCCCACCTAGAGTCTCTACTCCAGGCTCTCCTACTGTATTGTACTGTTTATACTTCTCTTCTATTTGCTTTTCCACAGCATACATTAATAATGGCATTCTCTGGACAAAAAAAATCTCTATGTGAAAACTCCCACTGCCTTTATGTTAAAATTCAAATCCTTTACAATAGTTCAATGATCTTAAAATTTCACAATTATCTACAGTGATGTAAAGCTAATTCTTACAAAGTTTACCATATTCGAGTCATATTAAGCTATTTCATCTTCTTCAAGAATTGTTCAATAATACCATACATAATTTCTATATAACTATTTCTGGATAATTTGTTAGTCAAGAAGCTTTAGTCAGTTACTTATATGGCCACTATAATCAAAGACTGTTGAGAATAGATAGCCACGGTCTTTGTGACATCAGTGTTTTTTCACATGTCTTCAAGATACCTTACGATACATTTGTACCAAGTCTAGGAAATGTCTTCAGAACTTGCACTACTTTTTCCCATGATATGTTTGCTTGTTGCTTGTGTGTGTGTGTGTACATGTGCGTGAATGCATGCGTGTGTGTGTGTTTGTGTAAGTAGTATTCTATTGGAGTTAAAGTCTGGTCCTTTTATGTTTAAGAACCCCTTTATGTAATTGGTAATGGACTTCTGTCATTCAATGTTTGAGAAGGTTTTTATTAAAAAAATTCATATTTAGCTTAAATATATCCTGTTAATTACTAATTGGTCCCTTTTTCTCTCTTAGTATAAGTTCAATAGTAGATTTTGATTATCTAATCATGATTTGATCAAGTTTTTATTGGTTATACATTATTAGCAAAATATTGACTTGCTTGGCCTTTGTATCAGGCTTACTACCATGGGTAGAATATATATTCAAAGATAACCTATTTAGAAAGAATTTTGTTGTTTTTGGCAAGTGTCTACTGTACCGTGTGATGTTATATGGATCTATTTCTACTATTCCATATACAATGGCAGGTCAGGCATGTGCAAGCCATTAAGACTATAGAGGAATTAAATGCATTTGAACCAATTTGGTCCTCATATTATCTGCCTGTGGTCAATAAAACTTTAATTAAATCACTATTATAAAAATTAGAAAGGATTCAAATACAAATTTTACCTCATTTGGAACATTCAACACTTTGCATCACATTCAAATGTCAATGGAGAAAGAGACTGGCTCAAAATTTTAAATCATTGGCCAGACTGGAATTGTCTTAGAATAAAAATTGACAATAGTAGACCATGACTGGGAAGAGCTTTCAATCTGGTTTTTGCTAACTCAAGATCCCTTCTGAATATCTCTTCTGTATATTCAATTATGTTTATAAACCTATACTTGGTCTTTAATACTGTATTTCTATATTTTATATTGTCTTGATCATTGAGAAAAATATGTTAGCCTTTTACAATATTTATAATATATTTGCCATCTATAGGTTACAGACTTTCAAAATATATGAAATTATACCTTGAATTCTATATTTCTTATAAATATTGAATATCTATTGAATTTTGATTATTATAATTTCTTTACACATAAATATTTTCATCTTTGTCTTTCTGAAAACCTATAGAACATTATCAGAGTTTTAAAATAAATTTAGGATTGCTAAAAATGTAACTAAGGACTCAGTTCAGCACCAACTTCTTTAATAGTAATGTAATAGTGTCCATTATCAATAGGGTCTAGGAGAAATATCTATAAGAATCACAGTAGTCACAGTTCTGAATTCATTTTACCATTCTGCTCTTATGTGATGTTACATTCTAAAGGAAGTGCAGGATATTGAATATTTCTTTAAGAATTCTATCTTGAATGTGTAAAATTCCAGACCTTTTGTGTGTTAAGATAGAGTACATTCATCCTGATTGAAGGACATAACAGAATATAAAATGAAATGGAAGTTATATGAAAGCACTTTATTAAATTCTCAAGAACAAGCTCCTTTACACTTTTCAGCATAAATAAATAATGCAACTTTCACCTGAGTCAGCCTTGTTGGCTGCTTTCCAGGGGCATCTATCTGTACTGCTAGGCTCTCCCTGGATACCTTCTTTCTATAGCTACTATGCTGCGGTGTATTTCTCAGTAATAAGACAAAGCTTTATGACAATCATTTTCTGGATAGGAATGCAATTCAATGGACTAGCAACAGACTAAGTGTATAGCCTGGTGGCTACTTTGAAGATGTTCACAGCCCAGAGGCTCAGTTGATTGGGCATGTAGTGTCTCTTCTACTTAGTTTGCCTTGTAATAGTATTTGTCTCTTACACTGAGCTTGGCTTCCTTTCCGAATGAAAGGCACATATGTCCCGAATATGTAAGCAATACATTAAACTGTTATATGCCAAGGATTTCAGGCCACAAATGGATTTTCTAGCAAAAACAGCATAATAGAAAGTGCTAAGTAACTCCAGAGATCTTTTACTTGTAATAGTTTATCTTATTTCTCTGAATTATAAGTAGTATTTCCCCCTTAAAAAAGAAGGCAGGAAAAGAAAGATCTGGGAATGTCTATGCTTAGCAAATTGTACACATTGTGGCATTCTGAAGTCAAGAAAAAAAACTGAATGAGATAATTTTGTGAAAACTGAAATAAACACGGATAGAAGGGTCAAAAGGGACAAGTGTTACAAAGAAACTACATTGTATACTTAGTATACAGTAGTAGGTGGCTGGCTTTCTCTGGCTATTAAACGTTTTTAGAAAGCAATTTTAGTGTAGTTTTACATTAATTATTTAAATGTTTTAAATCTTTTTACATATTAAGCCTTGGGATGAAATTTGGCTTTGGATGAATTTAGGTAAAAAAAATCATCAGTAAATAGTGAGAAATTAAAGTAATAAAAATACTGTCATTAAATTTTCAGTAAGGGGAGTGCTTGTATTTAACCATCATTTTAACTCACTTTTTCCAACTTAATATAAGTACTTAAAAATAATTACAATTTTTTAAATTTAATTTTATTTTTTTAAAGATTTTATCCATTTGAGAGAGAGAGAATGAGAGACAGAGAGCATGAGAGGGGAGAGGGTCAGAGGGAGAAACAGACTCCCCATTGAGCAGGGAGCCCGATGCGGGACTCGATCCCGGGACTCCGGGATCATGACCTGAGCTGAAGGCAGTCGCCCAACCAACTGAGCCACCCAGGCGCCCAAAAATAACAATTTTTAAAACGAAGGAGAAATCTATTCTCTACACTTGGCCTGATTTGTAAATTTGACTAGATATATGTGTAATCTAGCCAGAGAAAATTTCATTGAGAAAGTAAATACTCTTTAGTAAGAGCTGCTTCATTAAATCACACCCTTTACATTAGATGGGTAGGACTGAAGCTTGGATAGAAATGTGTACAAATCCACAAGACAGGGCATTAGTATTTGATCCTCTTATAGATATACACTCTATTACTTCTTACACATTTTACAATGAATTTGAAGAGGTTCTATATTAACAAGATGTAAGGATGTTTGTTGCAAACAATGGTCCTTTGTCTGTTTAAAATGAAACACTGAAATTGTGTTTAAAAGTGTCTTACAAATGCAGCAAGTCATTGAATACAATAAGCATCCTGTCAATACCATGTGTTTGGTTTACAAGATGTGATTTACTGCTACCAGTAGACATAGATGCAAAAGATAAATTTTTATTACAAAATTAAATCATTTATCAAAAGCTCTCTTTATTAATTTATGATCTTTATTTTTTTCCAGAAAAAATAGGGGGTCACATGGGGCTTGCTATATTGTCTGTAAGTCTCATAAACCTAATAATTGGGTTTAAAGAAAGGTAAAAATGCATCTCATTAGTAAGTTTCTCCAGTTTGCTATGTTTACCTAAATCATGCCTAATCAAATTCTATTCATCTGTGGTGATTTCAGCCATTGTGAATTGTCTATGGATAACAGAATGAAGGGACCACAAGATCAAGAAGTATATGTGAATATAAAAGGCATAGGCAGAGTCAAGATCTAGGAATATGGCAGAATTTCATCATCAAAGAACAATGCTAATGGAAGCAAGATGCTTTATAGAAGACATCCTGAGAGGATCTGTCCCAACTAAGATCAAATGGTTGGCCTATTGGCATAGAATAGTACATGACAATTCATGGGTAGGTAATATCATGTTCAATTAATGAAATAAAACATTTTACTGGGAAATGCTATTTGTGGTTATTGTCAGATTTTCTCTTGCTAAGATATTCATTGAAACTTTCAGCATGTTTGCATGGTGGAAAGTACTTTTCAGTCCTCTCTGTGTCCAAAGATTTTGATTTTCTGAAATATGTGAACAGGAGCAATAACATAAAGATTAGGATTTCTCCAGATAGCTTAAGCTCAATTCAGACATAAAGTAAATAAGCAAAAATGTCCATGTTATTCTCATCAGACATGAAATGATGTGGTATTTACAATGATAACAAATAATAGAACAAATAGAGTTCTCAAAATTAGCCAGAGTAAGTCCTTTTGTATATTTCTAGAATTTACTTAAAAGTTCATTTATATATTATACACTAAGTTATCTTTTTTAAACTACTGAATAGTTTTCACATCATTATCTCTAGTTCTTGAGGTTCCATACTACTTTTCAATGAATATAAATATATAACATGGTGGCCATTTATGACTATTCAAAATCAAGTGAGGTGTCATACATTATAATAAAATATTACTTCTTAACAAAATAGCATAATTAGTATCATTAATTAAAAAATAAGATTTTGAAAATTTCAATGATAATATTAAAAAACTGAGAAAGTAAGGACTAATATCTTTAAGAAATTTTTAAAATTCTACATGTTTCAAATTAAAGCTCAGAAATTATTATGGTTATACATAAAATTAATCCAGCATAGTGACAGCTAATTTATTTATAACCAAATACACATATTTGAACTACAATATGCAGCACTAAAGAAAACATTGCAACATAAATCAAAATAATTGTAATGCTGGGCTTATAGAATTAATACAAAAAGTAGCTAGATAGAAAGTATACATGTTACAGTTTTGCTCAAATAAGGCTGTTCCAGCAGCCTGGGATTGAAATTAGGTTACAATTGGACTAAGCCTAATTTGATTTAGACCTTATTTGTAAAAGCAACAACAAAAATAATTAACCTCCAAAACTTACCAGAACATAGCTGTCTTCAATGTACAAGTTCATAAAGAGAAGGAAAATGACAAGAACTCCCAAGAATGATACTGTGGAACGTTTTCTCAAGCATCTCATTTTATCAAGTGTTTCAAAAATATGCTTCATTTGACAAAATTTAAACATTCTATCCTGTGGAAAAAGGGCACAGAATTACTGACAATTAATTTTGGATGTAAATATTTCTTCATATGTATCAAAAGCCAGGCTTTCATAAAATCTCACCCTTCACCTGTTTAACTAAAAAGTTGTTTCCAATTTCACACATATGATTTTCACAGATTAGTAATATCTTAACATAAGGTCAATGCACTGCTTTATGTTGCTGTGGAGTAAATAAAAATAAAAAGCAAATCTCAGTAATTTTTGAAAAAATGAACATTAACAATGGTAATGCAAAAAAAAAGTCCTTTGATAAGAAACAGCACAAAAATAAAAGAGAAATACAAACACTACGGTAACTTCTACCTCCTCATACTATAATGTAATGAAAATGGAAGAAACTAGAAGCATGGGCTTAATATTGATCTTGGAGTAAGTGCACTGAAAAGAACACCTGGGAGGGAACCTGGGTCAAAGAGAGAGAAGTCATAAGTAAAGGAAGTTAAACTTTTGGGCTAAGTCCAAACATATCTTCGAGAACTTGAGTTACAGTTGGTTTGCTTATTTTTCCAATAATTCTTGTTAAGTCAGAGTAAATCCTGGGGTGGCATATCTACATGGTCTTGCTTGATCTACTAACTAGAAGTTTGGCTGTTTATAATAATTCATGGACTGCAAAAACAAAATTAGCATCAGCAAGATTAGTGGAGATCTATATTTTTTCCCATTCTACTCTTCTACATTTTGTGTTATTTTCCAATCACTGATTTATTTAGATTACTGATGGTTTGTTTAAAAAAGTATAAACATATCTGGAATGTTCAAAAGACTAGTTGAATCAATCATATTTTGTCTAAAATCAAGTATAATCTGGAAACTGTACCACTTCTAGTTGGGTACTGGGTCTTCCTGAGCTCAGTGTTAGGATGAAGTATTTATATAAATAAAGGAATTCAGGAAGTGAAAATGGCCTGTCCACCAAACCATTAAATGATGTCTAGGACATAGCAGGCAAGCAATATCTCTTCAATGAATTAATGCAAGAAATAATTTATTAATCCTTATAAATTATAAGAAAGAATATTAGGAATTGGGAGAAAGGCTTAACAAAGGCAGAGAATGGAAGAATTCTCAAAAAGAAATGTTAAGAATTACTCATTTTCTTTAGCCATATTTTTCTCTAGGTTTTTTTTTTAATTTTTCTTGTTGATTTGTAGAAATTTTAAATATATGTGTAGAGATGCACACATATACACTTTTCTTTGCTTATGTTGAAAATATTTAGGTATCTTCCCCAAGTATTATATTTTCTGTTGGGTTTGGCCAGCAAATCCTGAGGCAGTGAATGAAAAAATTACTCCAGACACCTTAGGAGGAGAAAGGAGAGGGTGTGGGGACCAGACACTCTAGTGGGGAAAGGTCCCAAGTCAAACTGCCTCCACTTTTATTGTGAACGTTATCAATACATCAAGGGAATAAGAAAAACAAGAAGGAATGTGAAGCTTTAAGAATCAGAACAGTGGCATAGGGAGTACCCTGTGATCAGAACATGCCGTGCTTGTGACGTGTGTGCAGTCAGGGAGTGCATGGAGTGCATGACCATCAAAGATAAATGTTTCTCTAAGTTAAGCATTTACTCCTTGGGTGAGAGCATTGAGCCGCAACAAGGATCTGGCTGTTTTCAGCCTAGAAACTGCAAAGGAGGTCCAGTTTGCAGACACTCCTTTGCTTTTCAACTAGTCTCACCCAGGGAGGCATGTGTTTATTAAATCTTCTCTAGCCAAGGCATTATGAATTCTCACAATTTTCTTCTTGGTCTGACTTTTGCAGTGTAGTGTTTTTGATTTCAAATTTCTTTCATACATATGGCTTTTTTTTGGTATAATGTTTAAAAAATATGGACAGTCTCCTTTATTTTTTTGTTTTTTTTTCCATGGATAGATTTTCTAATATATCTAGAATTTATCTTTTTGTCCTTTATCATGTAGTGGATCATTTTATTTATTTATTTTTCATCTGGAGAGCTGATGGTCTTCTCCTTACAGTGCACTGGCCATAGCTACTAGTCACATTACTGCTCCTGACTTCAAGGGTGTGGGAAGTATAATCTCCCTGGGAGTCAGAAATAAAGAACATTACTATTGTATACCACACTTTATATCCAATCAACCATTCTTTTCATATGGGATGCCACTTCTGGAATAGGGTCACTTTCTAATTTGTATTTATAGGTTAAAATGTATTTATAGATCCATCATTTATAACATTGTTCAATAAGAAAATATACAGCAATTTTAAACCAAAGCATGATAAGTGAAATTCTGTTATCTGGTAATGCTTCTGTAGATAAAACTGCATTATGTTTGTAAGAGATTTTTATCTGAATATTAAAAATTGAGAAAAACACAAAGGATTAGTATCTGATCATACACCAATGGACACAATATTTTTAAATGTCAATTTGTGAAAACTTATCAATAACACCAAATGCATGCGTTCCCTTTGACTCAGCAATTATACTTCTAAAATTCTATTTAAAGACAAAAATTGTATTCGTGGGTAAATGTTTAGCTATAGTGTTACAGGACAGTGATATTTGTAAAATAAATTGGAAACTATAAGATGTTAACAGCTGTCATCTTAGTGTAGAAGAATTATCAAGAATTTTCAATCTTGTTTTTACTTTTTTCAATTTCTATACTTTCAAATGTACATATATTCAATAATATTTAAAAATTTACTTTTAATTTTCAAAAGTCTCTATCATCTGTTGGAAAACAAAACTGCATTTTATTTCTTGGACACAAAAGCATAAACACAGAAATTTTTTTCAAGAAAATAAAGTTTAAAAATATGTAGCACTGTATGGTATGGTTTGGATGCTCTGAATTTGAATGTTATAAATTCAATATAAATGCTAAGTCAAGAAGAAGTATATTCTAATTCTATCCCTTGGAGACAAAGACAAAATGTAAATAATGTGACTACAAATTGAATTTGCAAAGTTCAAATGTAGATAATTACATATAAAGAAAATAAGTATACCTATTAAAATTTATTAAATACTTACTAAATGCTAGGCAATAGTTTGCGAGGGGAGCTCATTGATCTTTCATAACAAAGCTGAGATTTTAATACTACCATTAGTTTTACAAATGAAGAAAAAAAGAAAGAAAGAAAAAATCCAGGGTTTTCTTGAGGTGTCTCTACAAGGAATGATTCCAGTTTTTAAATATTAAAATTGATCGGCGTCTGCTCAATTAACCACTAGTGGTATACAGTTTACTAATTAGGTTTCATATGACATTTTAAACATACTGTTGCCAACAAACTATCCCACATATATGGTGATAACAATTTGTGATACCAATCTCTTGAATAAAATAGAAATAATATAAAAGACATAAATTCAATTTTTTTGGCAGAAAAAATTTAATTAAATCTACTTAGCCTAATAAACATATAAATATATAATGTGAGGAGGTGGGTGATATATGATATTTCAAGTAATATGAGAAGTAGAAAGTATACTACTTTGGAGGCAATACTTCAGAGTACTCTGCAATAATGCAAAATAGTACAAAACAACAAAACCCCAGGTTGTAATTCCAGAGTTGACAAAGAAAGAAAGACAGAATCCTGAGAGAGTAATGGTGATCATCTGAATTCTAAGATCCAATTCTTCAAGTTAGAATCCTCCAAAATCCATTCAGAACAATCAGAGCACAAGTAACCTTCCATAATGTACACCCTCACAGCAAACCCATGAGAAATATAATAGCACAAATTTCACTGTATATATAAGTGAAAACAATAACACCCAGAACAGGCAGAATTGGCTGAGGAGCCCAAATCAGAGCAAACAAAGGATTAGAAAACAGATCAAAATATGTGTCATTTATTAAAAAAAAAAAACAGACAAACTACAGCAAAAGAAAATTAAGGAAGCTAATATTTCATCCAAACTTCTTTCTCATCTGAAACAGAATCATCTGGGTCCAGGAAAATCCAAATAAATATTCAGAAAAAAGAAAAAAAAACCCTAGAATTACAGTCAATTAAATTTACTGAGAGGAAAACAAAATAGCTGATTTCAGGTAGGAGGAAGGGACTTTGTGGTTAGGCAATCTTTCTGTTGTGCCATGAAGCAAGGAAGCTCTTAGAGATTAGTAGGAGCATATCTAAAGGACACAGAAAATAGCTTAAAGAGGCTTCTATTGAGAAAACTTGAGAAAATCAATCCATCAAAAAATGACTATGATTGATAGAAAAATATTGGATTAATACAAACTCATGTATATAGGGTAATGATAAAAAGAAGAGAAAGAGAAAGTAAGAAACCTATCACAATTAGAGGTGATCACTACATCATCTTCTGATTCTAGAAATTGGTCATTGAAAGGAAAGCATCAAGGTTTCCTGCATTTCCAGGAGGAACTGTATTTCATCCACATTTAATGATTGGCATTTTCAGATAGTGGACAACAGGCAGCAAGGGCAATGATCTCTGAGGGAAAGGGAATGAAAAAAGTAAGTGCCAGGATTTTTCTAGTTTGTTGCCAGAAGGCAGTTTTCAAAAGTCAGGGCAGGACATTGATGAAAGAAATTGAAGAAGTCCCAAATAGAAAGATATCCTGTGTTCATGTATTGAAAGAGTATCATTAAAATGTCCATACTACCCAAAGCCAATAGATTCAATGCAATCCCTATCAAAATTCCAATAGTTTTTATAGATTCTGGTAGTTTTTATAGAAATAGAAAAAAAATTCTAAAATTTGTCTGGAGTCACAAAAGACCCTGAAAACCCAAAGCAATCATAAGAAAAAATAACAAAGCTAGAGGCATCATACTTCCTGATTTCAAACTACTGTATATTAAAAAAGCTATAGTAATCAAAATGGTATTGTACTGTCAAAGAAATAGACACAGTTCAATGGACAGAATCAAGAGCTCAAAAATAAGCCCATGCATTTACAGTCTGCTAAATATTTGACAGGAGAGCCAAGAATACTTGGTAAGGAAAGGTTAGTCTCTTTAATAAATGATGCTGGGAAAACTGGACAGCTACATGTAAAAAAGTAAAATGGACCCCTATCAACAATTAGAACAATTAGAACAGTTTCTGCAATGCAAAGACAGAAATAATTCATGTTTCCTTCATCCAGAACAGAAAAAAAAATCGTAACAGATTGGGCATCAGATAGAGTACTCAGAAGAGTCTTGCCTTAGTAATGAGGTAAAATTAGCCCAAGACTGGAGCCTTCTCTGAAACCAGCACTCTGATAGCAAAAATTGACAAAAGGAATTATTATTAGAAAGGGAAATTATAACTGGAGGGTATTATGCTGAGCAAAATAAGTCAATCAGAGAAAGACAATTATCATATGGTTTCACTCATATGAGGAATATAAGAAACAGCACAGAGGATCATAGGGGAAGGGAGGGGAAAACCACATTCCAGAAACTGTTCGAATTGTTCTTTTCCAGTGATCCCTTACCAGTTGTTGGACAGTGTTCTCACACACATGCCTAGTGCTCAAAGACATGAGGGAAACCCTTTGTAGATCTCTCTCTCTTTCTCTTTCCCTCTCTCTCCCCGTGTGTCTCCCTCCCTTCACTTGTAGTCTCCATGTAGCTTTCTCCTTTCTGGTACTCTGCCCTTGAATTCCAGCCACGTCAGAATCTCAAGCTTCTCAACTATGTCTCCTCACCCTAGGGAGCCCACTGTCTCATTGGATTCTCTCTCCTCGTGCCGCAGTCTAGAAACTCTAAACAGTGCGCTGTGGCAATTATCTCATTTGTTTCCCTTCTACCAGGAATCATGCCCTTTTCTGCTCGTATTCATAAAAACATGAGTATTTGTTTCACATATTTAGTCTAGTGCTTTAGTTAAGGAGAAAGGGTAAATCAACCCCCTATTTCTTCATCATGGTCAGAAATATCTTGCTGGTTATACAATTCTTTGCCTGTACTTTCTTCTCTTTTTCTTGATAAGTAGTATGCATTATTGTCTTGCTTTTAATGTTACTTGGGACACCTAGAGGCACCTGTTTTTCTTTCCACTATAAATGATTTGGCAAATGTAAAATGGATTGGTTGTGTTGCCTAGAGGCTTGTTAATTTTTTTTTTTTAAGTAGGCTTCATGCCCAGTGTGGAGCCCAGTGTGGGGCTTGAACTCATGACCCTGAGATCAAGACCTGAGCTGAGATCAAGAGTCGGATGACTAACTGACTGAGCCACCCAGCTGCCCCTGGGCTTAAGTCGTTTTTTTGAAAGAAAAGATTTTCAAACTGTGCTACATGTGTGGGTGTGCACACATGCACAAATACACACAAACCCAAACATTAAACTGTATAAAAGAAACATATTTAAAACATAGATATTCAAAAAGGCTAATGATAAAGGGATGAGCAAAGTGTTTTAAACAAGTTCAGACAATGAGATACCACAGTTTGGCACCCCGATATACAATGTGAGTGAATAAAAGCCATAAAAGCATAAAACTACTCAATTAAGGCCACTTTGTAAAGCTAAATGCTACAATTCCAGACAAATACCACCAAATAACACAACCAGCAACTTCTTAAATCAGAAACAACAGAAAATTCAATAAGTCAAAATGCCTAATGTTATGAGTCTATAAATTCTCACAGCCTAAAATAGGTCAGGAGAACAAAAATTGTGAGATATCAGAACAGAAACATATGTAAATCAAGAACTCTTAGAAACATAAGCACATGTTTATGGATGTGCAAACACAGTGAAGGATAATAATATTCTTCTCTCAGAATCTGTCAGTTTAAATAGTCAAAAAATAGCAAAGACAGAGCATCTGACAATCCAACATTTTCTCTTAATATTTAATTTTTGTGTGTGTGTTTTGGTCAATGAAATATATACAGTAGGTAGGGATTTTAAAGAATGTTCCGGGTCTGACCATAAACCAATATAATACAAAATAATCAAACAAAGGAGGAGAGAGCCACATCCCATGAAAGAGATACTGATGGTTTAGGTGGAAATGTGATGGAGAGAAGTGGAGAGATTTAAAAGCAAGGTAACTCCTAGATATCATGGTAGCATTACTGGGTAGCCATTTTTATTTTTTTAATAATTTATTTATTTAATTTGGGGGGAGGGGATCAGAGGAAGAGGGAGAGAGAATCTTAAGCAGACTCCTCCCTTTGTGTGGAGCCTGACATGGGGCTTGATCCCACCACCTGAGATCATGACCGGAGCCAAAAACAAGAGTTAGATGCCCAACTGACTCCACCACCCAGGCACTCCTGGTAGCCATTTTTAACCCACAGGCACTCTGCAACAGCATTAGTCTCTTAGGGTCTAGTGTGAAAAGAAAGCATGTTGATACAAGTAAGTAATAAAACTATCTATTGAAAACCACTAAATTGAGCTTGGCAAACTCAAGCTCACCATCGTTTACAAACTGGAAGTATTAAAAGAAAGTAAAAATTTGGTTTGAAATTATTAAACAGGTGAGCACACCTTGATAATATAAACTGCAGTAGCATGCTCCTGCTTGAAAATATCAGTCACACAAATGAGGACAGATTATTTGAACAGTATTTTGGTTCCACGTTCAAACAGTGTCTTATTTTGTTAGAAAGTTTTGACTTAGTCTTCAAATAATTTTAGAGAGGTAAAAAGTGTTTTTCAGAGCAGATTAGGTTCATTTAGAAAAATGATAACTCATATTATCATGGTTTGAGTGAATTATTTTCTCAGGATGATATATATCATCTTTTTTTTTAAAGATTTTATTTATTTGACAGACAGAGAAACAGCAAGAGAGGGAACACAAGCAGGGTGAGTGGGAAAGGGAGAAGCAGGCTTCCCGCCGAGCAGGGAGCCCGATGCGGGGCTCGATCCCAGGACCCTGGGACCATGACCTGAGCCGAAGGCAGTCGCTTAACCAACTGAGCCACCCAGGCACTCCAATATATATCATCTTTATATAACCTAAATGTCATGAGAAATTTATTTGCAAAAAACATATGCTACAATACACTTTATCTCTTGCACGTATAATGGGACATGTTTTGTTTAGTAGTTTTACTGCAAATGTTTTAAAAAACAGCTTCTTTGTCAGAAATTTATAATACAACACTATTGATTGTGAATATAGTTATGGAAATAAGGATATATAAAAACCCTACTCCTCTGCTCTAAATGTATGCAAAGTTGGCACATCTGGTTCAATAAGCCTTTTTTTTTTTTTTTTTTTTTTTAATATCATAATCTTTGGAAGATCCAGGTGTTGAATGTTCACATATATGAAACTACTTCAAAGACATAACTATTTAAAAATCATTTGGATGTAATCCTATACCAAATAATATTTTAAATGGAAATAAATTATTTTCACTCTATAATTCCTTTGTAAAGATTATTACATTTGAATATGTGGATATATTTATTTATATTCACATATAAAATGTATATTATATATTCATGTATTTACATACAATTTTGAAATTATAAATAGTGTAGCAATACTCCTATACACTTATATACACATAATTATACATATATAAATGTAGCTATAATCACTGACAATGAAACAAGTCAGTCAGTGAGAAAGTACTATTCTTTCTCACTATTTAATACTAATCCTACCTGAATTTTGTCTTCTTAACTTTACAAACCATCTCCAAAGAGGAGACAAGACATTCTTAGTAATCTTTCTGTCCTATAATATTGTTCTTTCCCACCATTCTGTCCAATCTTCTCTTCTTTTCTTTACAACCTTTTGACATTTCATGACCTCTCTTATAACCAAATTTGAGCAAAATTCAAAATTTAGATCTTAAGCTAGGACTCCTTCCTGAGCCTATTTCCAATTTTTGAATAGAGACTATTATCTCTAGGCAGATTTCCTGCTATTCACACAAACACAGTGAATCGAAAACTACAGGATGGTTTTCCATTCCAGCCTGTTCGTGCTTGCCGTCTCATTTTTGGTAGGCCTAGATTTCTAATCGCCAAATTAAATCATCTCAAAAGTTATTTGTCTCCTGCTCTCCCAAAGTCAGAAATATTCCAAGTTCTGTCTCAAGCCTTCAATATCTCACCTGCCACAATTTCTCCCCCCACCCCACGCCGCTCCCCCATTCTCACTGCCATTATCAGAGTTCAGGTTAACACTTCTGATGCTGATGGTTTTTCCTACCCGTATGCTGTTCATCATTTGTTTCTTAAACATCAGTCCCTGAACCAGAAGTGGGAAGTTAGTTTGAGAGTTCCGCTGCTAGGCCGGAAGTGAGAAGATCCACCCGAGATGTTGGGATGCGTTTCCAGGTCAGGCGCGGGGGGTGGCTGTCAGTCACGTCAGGTTAGTAGGAAAAACGTAACAACAGGGCTTTGCTGTGCCACAGGACAGAAATCAAGAAAACTGCCTGCAGATGGTCTCAGTCATCACAGTGATAACACAATGCCCGGTGGTAAACCACATGGTAGCAAAAGCACAGCCAGCCCTGCACAGAGCTCACTGAGGAGGTCCATTCGGACCCTGATTTCCCTTACCACCAAGACCCCAAGTTTCATGCAGCGAAAACTGTACAGAGGCCAAACCCCATTGGTCTATTTCAGTCCTGCTCTTTGCAAAACTAGAGGAAGGGGATCCTAACGACCGTTAAGAACCATTTTATTTTTCAAGTTCTGGAATTAGTTGCACTTTTATTTGTACTTTGCATTTCCTAAGAAAGGATGCTTGGAAGACAGCCAAGGAGCACCAGGCAGGTAGAGGAGGCAGAGAATTTGAACAATTCTTTTGGATCAAAACTACAATTTCTTCATCCTGTGTCCTACTTCACCTTCCCAGTGCTGAGATAAAATAACCAAAGTTTTTCTGTTTTGTAATAATAAAAGTAGTTTTATATTAAATGAAAGAAAAAAAATTTCCTCCAGGAAATACAAACCTACTTGTGTCCACTAGGGTGGGAGTTCCATCGCTTCAGGTACCATCTCCTTTTGCTGCCTCTCTACAAGCTGTGTGTGCTGGAGCCATGCCAATCAGTGGGACTTGGAGGAAGACCCCAGGAGCAGCGGAGAATCCATTGCAGGCCAGCACCTCCCTTCTTGACTATATGAAAGGTATCCCCTGTTTGAGGACACTGAAATTTATACAGGTTGTGATTTTGCCCCAAATCACTAAACTGGAAGAAACACACTGCAAAGTTGCCACCACAGTGAAGCTTAGATTGGTTGAGACAGGAGCTTCAGCAATTCCTCCAATAACTGGAGGAAGAAATATGAAACTTAGGAGCTTCATTCAGATAGTTTCAAGATGGTGCCTCAGGGATCTGAGCTGCCACCTCCCAATGGCCTCCCTCTGACCTTTAAAGTGCTTACTCCTGATGTTTTGTTTGTATACAGTTCTGCATCTTTTAAAATACAAAGCAAGTGATCACAATCAAAGACTATTGATCAACTAACTTTGAAGTTCTACAAGACTGATTATGTCTGGATTTTGGATACATTGCAGTGGGTGTGGTTGTAGTGACACAACTCCACAGAAATGGGCTACATCCTTCCTCATAGATGCAATCTTGAAACTACTGTAACCACATTGAATGCAAGTGGAAGGATTGATTATCTTCCAGACAGTCCAGAAAAAAATAGCTAAAAAATTAGATTTGCTTGGAGGTTAGGCAGATGGAAAAAAAAAAAGGATTAAGCAAAACTTAATAATAACCCTTTCTGGAATGGGGTTCAGAATCTTTGATGAGCTGCCATCTGCAGATCAACTAAATGCAAAACAGCCAGTCAAGCAGGACAATACCATTTTTAGAAACATATGTTCATACAGTTTATTAGAACTTTTCATTCTACAAGTCTGGTATCAAAGTTTTGTCACAGGGTTAAAGTCACCTATCTCTGAGCAATTTTAGATTAGGAGGATTTTTGAATATCCCATTTGAAACACAGAAAGATAGCCTCATAGTGCAGGAAGATAACTCCTAGGGAAATGTAGCAGATTTCCAAGAAAACTCTGTTGGACCCTCCTTTGGAAAACAACATTGAGCGGAATCAGGCCTGCATTAGAAGTAAAGCTGAGGGACATAGAAGTGAAAACCAATCTGCATGTTAGTTCTGGAGTCCCTACCCCTGGTTAGAGACATATAGGGATTGAACTACTTAGAAGTATATAAGGCCAAGGAATGTGAGACACTATTTCACTTCTCAGAGGCTCAACATTAAGTTATCTTATATGTGGACATGCTTTCCTACATAATTCTTTTCCTCCTTAGGCTTAGTCATTCTGTGCATCAGTTTAAGAAAAGTACCGTTCTCTACATTTGCCTCACATTTTAATCTCCATGGATTTTCTCTCCTTTATTACCAAATCCCAATTTTTGAAATTAAATTATAGATCACCAAAATGTTACCTTCTCGCTGAACCCCATTTTCAATCAAATTTGGTTTTCACTTTTTTGAACTCTTATCGTTTTATCTATACTTCTCTTAATTTATTTAATACTTTCTACTTCTTGATACTGTTTTTACATGTCTTATTTCCCTTTGGATTCTGAACTTCTTGTATTTAGAATATTTTTTAAAAACTTCTTATCATGGGGTGCCTGGGTGGTTCAGTTGGTTAAGTATCTGACTCTTGATCTCAACTCAGGTCTGGATCTCGGGGTTGTGAGTTCAAGCCTCACATTGGGCTCCATGCTGGGTGTGGAGCCTACATAAAAAACAGAACAAACAAACAAAAAATCATATCACTTTAGTACTTGGAGAAGTTTTTTTTTTTTTTTTAAAGAACAAACAACTACTGGTGTGTGTGTGTGTGTGTGTGTGTGTTGCATTGCAGAAATCTTGAACTTGATGAGAAAACTACTAGTCCATGAATATTTGTATTTCTTTCCCACACCACTCTTCTATCTTGTCTAAGAGCTCCCCTTCCATGATCCAGACCTACAATGTAATCTCTAGCATTTTGGTTGCAAAATGCAAAACTTAACTTTGTCTGTTATCAAAAGCACCATAGACTCTTCTGTGTTTATTTTATAATTTAAGTGAAAAGTGAGGACAGTGCCACTTGTTAGTTTCAGTATTTGGTGGATTGAGATATTTCATTACTGAGATAAATCAAGATCTTTTAGAATATTTAAGAAATGCAGCAGCAGCAAAAAAAAAAAAAAAGAATGTTGACACTGTGGACACTTTGAAAAACACTAGCAAAATAGAGTAATTAGTTTGTGCCAGGAGAGCCTGAGACATATGTAATCTGATCGAATATCAGAATTCAGGTATGGTGCAAAGTTTTAGAAGCCATATAACTTTGGGACAGATATTATTTGGATCTGTTGGACCATCTGCTTATCTTTACTACCTCATACATATGCACATATATGTATAGAAATAAAGACTGTCATTGTAACACTATAAATATTTATTTCAAATCATTACTCGTGGACACAGATAAAGTATTAGTTGCACAAACACTTCATTATTTTTCTTCTTGGGAAGACACTGTGGAAATTTGTGTGCTAGTTTTGATCATCTCAGGAAAAAATGGTCATTTATTAAAGAATTGATGCTGATGTGAAGTGACAAGTGAATTATTATACCACAGAGCTGTTTGCTTAGAGTGCATATGCTTGTGCATGTTACCACAAATTCTTCATGTTTCTAGAATGTTACTTGGATTGTGTGCAACAAACCACCAAATGTTAATGAGCTCAGTTCTCTCTCTAGCTCTTTGGGGCAAAATCACATGTCTCCAGTGCAAACTATTCCATGGCCATATAAGAGATTGGGAGAAAGGGAACCCATAACACCACCCATCTGAATGAATGTGGCTACATTAATCTATCCCAAGGCAGTAAGCTTTAGTTTATATTTTATTTAAGAGTCTATTTTTAAATCAACAAGATGCAAAAGTAAAATTACATTCTCCAAATCCTATGGGCTTGTAGCCAACACTTAACCCCACATTTGGGAAAATCATGAAAGAAGTCTTGCCATTAAACTGTTCATCTGTCTGACATGTGCCTTTATGTATATCTGACTTGCTTGGCTTGTCTTTTTTAATGCTTGACCAATTTGTTTTTCTATTTTGTGGAAGGCTGCACACACCCTCCGGGGCAGTATTCAATACTTTCTGATGAAAAGAAAGACTGTTGCTGACATAGCAAAAGCTTCAGGAAGTCACAAAAATGAGAAGGGTTTTACAAAACTTATTATCTTTACATTTTGTACAAAAGGCTCAGATACTGATGGGACAAATGTAATTGTTTTTTAATGTTAAGATTTTTTTTTTACAGTCCCATGTTGTATGATCCACTTGTAGCTATAGGTGGTAGCAAAGTAGAAAATTATAGAGCCTAGATTATTCCTTAGGGTTCACAGTGATGACCAGCAAGATTTATTTTCTGGTTTACGTTAAGTGGATGGAAACACAGATAGAAAATGTGTAGCTCTGACAAGCGGGAGGTTTCTTGTCACTAAGTATTAAAATAGTAAAACTTGAAGTGAGCATTGGGAAAAAAGAACAATCTTTTTCAATGCTGAAGCTAACTAAGACGAGAAATATTCAGTATTTATCAACTTCTTTTTTAGAATATCATTCTCTTACAGATTTCAAGTTTCCTTCCATTGAGCTGAAAAAGGCTAGCTAGAGTGGAAACAAGAATAGCCAACACGGAACTAAGCACTTTAGCAAGAATATAGGAGATAGCGCTTAAGCAAATTGTGGTCATGCAAGTTGTTTTGAGTTGTGGCAGGGAAGAAAGTGATAATGGTGATGATGATAACTGACTCATTCAGAGGGCTGTAAAATAAGTTTAGTCTTCCACAAAACTCATGAGGTAGAAAGGCACCTGGGGGGCTCAGGCGGTTGAGCATCTGGCTCTTGGTTTCTGCTGGAGTCATGAGCTCAGGGTCCTAAGATTGAGCCCTGTGCTGGGCTCCACGCTCAGTGGGGAGTCTGCTGGAGGTTCTCTCTCTCCCTCTTCCTCTGCCCCTCCCCCTGCTCTTGTTCTCTCTCCCTCTCTCTAAAATAAATACATCTTTCAAAAAGAAACTCATGAGGTAGGAAAGAATACGTTTTGTGATTATTCTCATGTTACAAATAAGTACACTATAGAGCAGATAAAGTGATGTGCCCAGAGACAGTATATAGCAAGTATGTTATATAGATATGATAAATGACAGGTTTTCAAATCCCTGACTTTTTAAGCATTGGGGTCTACTCAAACAGTTTATCAGAAAGATCTAAAAATTAGGTGCTTCCAAATCAAGCTAAATTTGGGGTAAAGAAATAATATTAAAGCACAATAATAATCATA